TACTAACAGTTATAATTAACTTATTAACTATATAGTTAATAAGCTAATTATGACTGTTAGTATAGATAATAAATTAATTCACTATTTGTCAATATTTGTTGATGTAAGATATTTTGTTCCTAAGGTTTTCTTTCTTTCAGTAATCTTTGTAACCCAATTATTTACCTGTTGGTTTCAGGCTAAATGTCAGTTTGGTGGAACGTATCCCATAAAATATTTTCAGACTCGTTTTCTGTGTCTCTGTCCTGTAATTAAGTCCTTCAAAGTTCCACTCAAAACACAATTCCACCCATTTTTTTATCTTTGTTTTTGTTACATCGAAAATTTCACCTGTCGGAAAACTTTGGCTAGATCTCATGTTGGCTTGTAGCTGCCTGTATCTTATTCTTCTCTCTTATACAATTGTTTATATCAGTGCTCTGAAGATAAAATGGAAACTGTTTATTCGAGGTTACAGATGTGAACAGTAGAATATATATATATATTATATTTTTATGTAGATATGTCATTATTAACCAGTGTTTTCACTGATCTTTCAACAAATACAGAATGCTTTTGTATTGTTGACAATAAACAACATTTTCAAAACTACATGGAAATGATGCTTTAAAGTGTGGAGGAAACAACACTTATCTTTTTTTTTGTCAGTTAAGCTTGTGTAATGAGTAAAGTGTACGCTCTCTAAAATTTCACTCTTGCTAACATTTTTAGTCATCTGAAACAGTCCTGGTACGAAAGATAAATGACCTGTTTTCTGGCACTGACTCACTTTCAGTTGCTTAAAGTTAATTACGTTCTCTGGCACTGACTCACCTTCAGTTGCTTAAAGTTAAGTACGTTTTCTGGCACTGACTCACTTTCAGTTGCTTAAAGTTAAGTACGTTCTCTGGCACTGACTCACCTTCAGTTGCTTAAAGTTAAGTACGTTTTCTGGCACTGATTCACTTTCAGTTGCTTAAAGTTAAGTACGTTTTCTGGCACTGACTCACTTTCAGTTGCTTAAAGTTAAGTACGTTCTCTGGCACTGACTCACTTTCAGTTGCTTAAAGTTAAGTACGTTCTCTGGCACTGACTCACTTTCAGTTGCTTAAAGTTAAGTACGTTCTCTGGCACTGACTCACTTTCAGTTGCTTAAAGTTAAGTACGTTCTCTGGCACTGACTCACTTTCAGTTGCTTAAAGTTAAACAATTGCTTATTCATCTGCAGTCAGTCTTAGTTACAACCTTCGAGGTAGTTTTTATGGTAACTTTGTAACAAACATAATTAAATATGTTTGGTTTTCTCGAATATTCTCGCAAAGCTACACAAGGGCTATCTACGTTAGGTGTCCATAGTTTTGAACTGATAGACTACAGAGGAAAGGCAGCTAGTTAACAGCACCCACTGTCAACTCTTTGGCTAATCTAATCAACTAGTGGGATTTGACCGTCACTCTTATAAATGCCCCCTATAGCTCCAAAGTGCGATGGTGATTTGTTTCACGAACTTTGCAATAAAAAAAATGTCATATGGGATAACACCTCAACAACTTGATTGGGCGAGATGAGTGAATTACGAGTGTCGTTGTACAAGTG